ACTATTTAAAAAACAAACAAAAAAAAGTATTTGCGTTGCCATGTATTAGGGTACTGGACGATGCTGTTATGCATATGAGGTGATGGCACAACCGGTAACTTGAAAATGCACTTTTGCAAGGTGTAGGCCATCGTATTTCACGCTGTTATCCTGTTGGATAGCCAACTGGCCTTCGAGAAGTTGCTGTTTTTTTGACTCAAGGCATGTACCATGTTGAATCGTTCACTCTCCTCAGTTCTTGCCAGCAGGACAGGCAACGCTGTCACCCTTTGTTCACACTGACCCTTTTATTTATTTTTTTATTTTTCAGATCCCTCTGAGCCATGCAAAAAATGCAAGGAAAACCGACACAAATTACACAGCCTTTAGCAGCTCAAATAACTGCCTTCATAAGTGTAAGCAGGTAGGTCTTTGTCAGTATATCTGCTCTTCAGAGATAAAATAATCCAGCCAGCTGCATTAATTAAAAAAAAGAACCTAGAAGACTTTGGGGCTCATTAAAGTTAATAACAACATGATGTGATGACAGATACAAGTTGCAGAGGTTCTGAAAATAGCGGGTTAAACTGTAAATATCTTTTAATAAATAATTTTCCTGCAATGTAAAAATAAATGATATTTCCTTTGGCAGTAATAGCTGATTTAATCTTTAGCCAGGAAGTTGTTCTGCTCATAAAATACCATTTTGCTACAGAAAAAAAAAATATTATTTTGTTGTTTTGAAAGACTTTTGTAATCCATGATAAACAGGGTGACTCTACTTATGTCCGAGATAAGCGCCAAGAGTGATGCAAGCTCCCACCAGAACCAGGCTCAGAATAGTCTTCAGAGAGATCCAGGAGAAATCGAACAAAGGCCTCATGCTGTTGCCATATAACTCCACGAAGGCATCCTAGAAAGGGAAATAAGGGAATATCAGAATAACAACAGTAGTGCTATACAGGAGGCCACAGAACAGAGTTTTCACTGTAGTACCTGGGTAGCGACCGACAGAACTTATTTACAGACCTAAAAAACCACCAAGTAACTTCTAAGAGGGAGAGTTTCTTCATGCACAGTGGTCATCCACTAGCCCTCCCACAGAAAAGAAAAGAAAAAAAACAACAAAACTATTAAAAATAAACAGTGACTCGGAAGCAATGCTTTTGTGCAGTGCCCAGCACAAAGTTCTGCCTATTTTCTTACAGATATTCTTGGAATTACTTAAGGGCTGACTTCTGCTTTAGGTATGCCCAGCCTAACAGAAAACACAGGAAGAGCATTTATATTTAATAATTTTTTGTATTAGTGCCTACATTTTGGTTCCTGAATGTACATATACAAACATACACAAACAAAAGGAGCTAAGCAGAACTTCATTCTCCAAACCTTTGGTTTCCATTGGACTCAGGAGTCCATATCGCTGGTCACTGGTCCTGAAAATAAGGCAGTATTTATTTAGGGATGGATTCAGATGCCTAAAAGTGCCACTGAGATGTTTCTTCCCTATCAGTTAAGCCTGGTAGGGTGCAGTTCTGTGTTGCACCTCTGCAGGTATTTGACCACAGTCACCATAAGGGGTGACACCTTGGTCCTGTGCTCCTGACAATCGTTCTTTGCCTCGACGTAGCAGTGGTCTGGCTCTAGAACAAGTTGGGCCAACCTGCTCATCAAACAGAAGAGTAACCCAGCCCCGAGAAAGGACTCTTTTTCCTTGTGATCATCTTGTCGATCCAACTGCCCCGGAGCCTACAGCCACAACATTCAGCTCGAGGAAGAGGAGGGAAAATACGTAGCAGTGGAGGGACTGCCACTCTTGGTGGCTGCCCACAATTCACCTGGCACGAGGCGTAACGGGAATCCTCTCCCGTGGCCAGGGCCCCAACTGCACCGTGGGTTTCCTCTCCCATCGATGGAGAGCTGTTTTATAAAGCGCTTCTGAGAGAGAAAGTCTGGAGATGCATGCAGGCACCAAATGGAAAGACCATTTAAGTAAAGATGCAGTTTCTGTGACGCGTAAATCCAAAGGCAATTTATAAGGCGAGTGATCAGGTGGGTAATGCTCTGCGCCTAAAGCGTTTCTTTTAAGAAGCCTGGCATTCCTTACGAACCTGAAGCCTCAAAGCAGTCCTGAGAGACAGGTACGTCGTGCTGTGAAGTGTGAAAGCGATAAATAGCGAAGCTTCAAAAACGTGACAAAACTGATAGCACGGCTTAGGACAACGCTTTTCTGTTGCAACCAATTGAGCTCTGCTCCCAGACTACTGGGGTAAACCCACAAAATAGCTATCTAATGTGGAGTTTTTCCTCTCTGCCTCTTATTACTTCGGGTTTTCAGTTTCTTGTAAAAGCATAAACATGCTGTATTTCTGTTACAGTGCCTTTAGGTGTTTCGTAGTGTTACTATGCTAGGAGGTTTCCTGCCTTCTAAAAGTGCATATGTGGTCATGGATTACAGCAGGAGGTAAGAGAAAAATGTCTCAGTTATTAATATAAACCTTTCAACCAAGTGTAATTTTCATAAAATATGAAAATTAATTTAGCCTTGTCATTAGCCATCTCCAGTCGTTATCAAAATAAGAGCATTTGGGTTTTTACCACGAGAGGGCGTGTAAGGTTTTTTATATTTTGTTGTTCTGACTTCTGTTCAGTAGACACTGGGCAAGGCTCAAGTAAATAAAATGTGTTTACTTCCAAAATAGGTCTTTAAATACTATTGGTACAGGTGGTAGGTAAGAGTGAGTGTGTCAATAGGAGAAGAGTTGTAAGATTTGGCCAATAGACTGACCTGAAAATACATCTTCCTTCTATTATCCGTTATTTCTTAACGCTTGTTCCTCCGGGCAATCTTTTCCAAACTTGGGTTTCCAAAGGTATATTCTTAAGTGAAAGCAGCTTAACTTTGGGGGGAATGCCTTAATGCAAACTGTTCATTTCTGAGAAGATTTGGCAACTTTTGCTTAGCTGCCTGGTTTTTGAAATAAACGTTTGCAAACTCTGGCCTTAATATTCTGCTGTGCTGTTAGAGAGCTGAAAAGCATACGCAGTTTGCTGTGCAGTTCTTTGGAAAGCTGCTTTTATTTCTCCTTAAGGCTATGAAGTAACACAATATCCTAAAATGTTACAGACTGGGCTAAATCCTGTTGTCGCCAGTGCAGACTCACTGACTTCGATGAGCGTTTTGCCTGTATAGGGAGCTCAAGATCAGGCCTTATAAAAATACAACAAGGGTAGAGTTCAACACTTTTTGATATTACTATGGGTGGAAAAGGGAGGAAATGAAAAAAAAAAAAACCATGGAAATGCAAGTCATGTGAAAACATTTCAGTGTTAGATTTTAAGGGTCTCTTTCTGTGGGCTGAGTCCCACTGCTGTATATGCATGACAGCAAATGCATACGGAGAGTATAGACAGCAAAAGGAACAGTCTTTCTGCCTCCTTGCTATCCCAGTTTAGGACTGTCCAGCCCAGTTGGTTAGGAAGACCGTTTCTAACAGTTCAGCAGGGCTCCTGGTGTTCGGTATGAAGATGGGCTGAGGGATACGGTAACACTCGAATGCAGGACAAAAGTACGGCATCCCCTATGCCTCAGAAGAGGAATGTTAGCAAAAAATCTGCAGCACGCAGTACTTTTTCGTCTGAGATTATTACAACAATAACATGAACCCAACCTCGTGGTGTCTGCACTATATATTACAAGTAGCTCTTTATGGTCCTTCCCCCTCCCCTTCTCAAACATCCTGATTAGGCCTATTTCCGAAGCTTGTTTGAACAGCCTGTCACTATTTGTTTAAGTTTCAAACCTGTTTTAAATAAACATATGTCCATTTTATGTACTAAAACAAGGAGAGGGGGGAGGGAAGTATGACCCATTTCTGAAAACTGTTTTAACGCAGAGAGCGCCCTGAGCAGAACCTTGACTCTTCCATAAGTTCTGTCGCCTTCTGGGAGCCCCTGGATTTGTCACTGGGTTTCTGTCCTCAAAAGCAGTCCGTTTGAAATAAGAGAAGCTGGGCTAAAACAAGTAAGATTATCAAAATTGCCGGAAACATTTGATGTCCTCTCAAAAGTACCTTCTGTAACGAAAGCAAGGGTCCCCCCACATCATGGCCCTGGGGGCCAGCCGAGACAAGTTCTGGCATGGTCACCCCTTCTGGAAGTGCTGCACAGCTGGAAAGAAAACGGTTATAGGCTTCTATTTTAGACCAACCTACTGAAAACTTAATGCAAAGAAGTTATATCCTGGATGTAAAACTATATCAGGACAGCTGGAAATTATATGGGAAAGAACTCTTCATTCAGCTCTAGGGGTTTTTTTAAAGTATATTTTTAATAATTTAGTGTCTCCAATCTTTTAAAACTAATTTCTGTAGACGCTTACATTGAACCAAGACAGTCCAGTGTTGGTTTGCTGTCTAAATTTACACTGAGTGTTTCTGTAAAGCAAGAAAGAAGGCAGCGGTGAAGGGAAAGATGCTCTGCCTAAGCTCCTCTTAGTACCAAAGTTGCCTGCATCTACAGGGGCTTGATTGGCAGGCCGGGAAGATTGCCTAAAGGGCATCCTGAGCTACCCCTCTTGCCTGTTGAACTATATGCAGCGAAGGCATACAGTATTACTGACTGGCGCTACTTGGATTTCTAAGGACCCCAAGGGCAAAAGGGGAGTTTGTCGCTGTCTGAGGATTAGGAGGTATAATAATGCATTGAGCCAGGGCATTTTGAAAACAAAAGATGCAGATCACCCTACCCTGCTCCTCTGCTGGCCCAAATTTGGCAGCTCTGATCTGACAAAAAAAACGGGATCTTTAATTACATGAACATGTGTTACTTACGGATCGAGCCAAGCTTATTTAGTCTCGGTACTTTTGCAACTCAGCCTTCATCCCCGCTGCAGAGGCAGGGCATAACTTCTAGGCTGCGGCGAACTAAATGCTTCCCATATGCTGAGCCCAGTGATGCGTTCATGTCATGAATACTCCTTATTGCAAATGCAAAGGGAAAAACCAGTTTCAGCGCGATATTCTGCATTTATTACTGCGGGGGTGGTGGGCAGAGCAAACATGAGGAAGTAAAGGCTTCCTTTTTCTACCTGAATCAAACAGCTGGTGAGGAAGTGACTTTATTTCCCTCGTTATCATTGGTTTGACAGGATATCCTCTTGAGCCACATTGTATTGAATGAAGAGCCTGCGCGACTTCCATTTTGCTGAACGGGAATTGCCTCGCGGCTATTTTATGCTGCCCTCGCCGTGACTCCAAAACAAACACACGCACACCAGCTCGAGGCTTTTGAAGAAACCTGCACAGGTCCGAATGACACAGCCCTTCCCTTCTGCTACAGGGGAGGGAATGACATCAGCGCTGATGCCAAGATTTAGCAGCTGAATGACTTTTCAGTCACCCCTGCCTTAATATGAACGACATAAATTCTCATAAAAGCTTTCTTTCCTGAATAGTAACTCATTTCAGAGACAGTTTGGGGAGGGAGGGAGCAAAGAGGGATGGTTAAATCGTCCCATGTTTTCTATGCCATGAAACCTCATTAAAATGTCATCGTGCAGCTAACGAGAAAAGTTCTTGGAACATAAAAAATAGACAAGTTTGTAGCTGTTCTTTTCCTGAAAAGTTTATGGTCCTTTATGCAAACCTAAGTAGTAAGTATATGCAAATAAGGGCAGCTCAGACCTTGACTGCGTTGCGCCGAGGTGTGGTGTTTCATGAGGCCGATATCTTTTTACGCCTGGGAGTGCTGACATGCTGGCAATTGAGCCAGCTGCAATTTATCAAATTTTCATGTGAAGGAAGAGAATGTGTCACCACGCGAGCTATGCTGCCCGCTGCTGAGGAACCTGCCCGCCGAGTGGCTCTACCGTTGGGTGCTCCTGGGCAAAGTCCCATCCGGCACACCAGAGCGTCAAGTCGGAGGGTTTTTTGTCCTCCTCTTTGCCTGTGGCAGGAATGGATCTATTCTGAGTTCTTCATTTGCACAATGCGCTAATCTCAGGTCTGTAGCTGATATACTAACTACTGGCTGCACACCCACTAGTTTCTCCACTAGTGAAATCTAAGGTTTCTGACATTGGACAAAATTGCTCCTCATCATAGTCGTCTTCCCTAACTTCTTTTTTCCTTTTCCTTGCTATAAATTTGTTTAAATGCTCGTACTTGTGGGCCTGTGATCTTGGGAGCAGATCTTGCAGGTGCTGTTCTGGCCAGCCTCTCATTAAAGCCTGTGTGAACTGAAATCAATGGAAATACTGTCTGCCTAAGGCTGACTAAACGTGGCACTCACATGGCGACTTCTAAGGAATAGGGACTAATCGTGGTGAGATTTATTCATGAGAACGGATACACATGCTTAGAAACGTATAAATCTGTGTGGTTATAGTAACAAGCATGGTTATTCCCCTTCACTCTCCTGGAGACTGAATCTGTTGGCAGACAGATCTCCTCCAGGGTTCGGAGCGTCACAAAGAATAAACCTAGATTGTGCAGAATGATCAAGGCCGTCTCTTTAAACACACGATTAGTAAGGTATTGATCATTGCACTTGCTTGGAAATCCATACAGTGTTCAGACTAGGCTGCGTTCTTGTAAAACCAAGTCAGCATGAGAAACATTTCAGCAATTTAGTCTTGGCGTCTCTAGTTAATTCAGTTAGACGTGGCTCTGCAATATGCAAAAGCCTAGACCTAGTGGAGGCTGCCTGGTTTTCTTATTCCTGGAATGGCCCACACTAAAATGAGGTTTTTCTGGCGTCAGTGCAACAGCTGTAATGTCACTGCAGCAACTCACTGGTGGTACTTAATGGGTACCATTTCTGAGGAGCAATATTATAATTAATGAGAGAGAGGGCAGGAAGGCCTTCTGGACAAAATCCTCACTGTTCAAACAATACAGTCAAAGCTGCTCTATTCAGTCCTTCACAATTTTCTTTTCATGGATTTTCGGCACATTTTGCTTTTGCAGGTTGATAATCCTATTCAACTAATTTGCTATTTATTTACATCAATATTTAGTAACCTTAGTTTGAACTTCCCAAATTATCCTAGTTGGATAGAATGCTAGAAGCTGTATATAATTCATATGTAGACACAAACGTAGCACAATTGTGTAATATGTCTGTGCGTGTATTTTCAAGAATCTCAATTCTACCAAGAACCATTCAGTTTTTGGCCACCTCCTTCTTCTTTTAGTCAAATTTATCAAATTGGGTTTAAAGAGTTTACATTGACATACGCGGGTAAACTTTTCAAATAACCACAGAGATTTTGGATCACTTTGGAGGAGAGAACAAGTATCACAGAATTGCTGACTGAACTCATATGTTGCAAAAAATGAAGTAGAACCTTACACTGTAACATTGCTCTTAACAACTGCCTCATTTGAGAAGAAGCTAGATGTATTAGGACTACTCTCAAATCTTTAGCGTGACTTTAAAATGAAAATAATGACAGAATGGATCTGAAAGTTGACACAGGTCTGATTCTCTTTTTCAAAGCCGTGTACCTGAATTCTCAGTCTTGCTAGTAATTTACCTTCCGTTTGAATGCCCCCTACACTGCAAATAGGCCACCTCATTTAAAAGCCTAAATGTGAAAACTTGGCTGCAGCTAGTACTTTGGTAATACAAGAAAATATGAACACATACAGCACTGTGTTCCAGCTGGCAGTGTCTGTCACTCGTGGGCTGCTGCAAAAGAGTTAAATCATGTAACAGTCTGAGAAATGGGAACTGAAAGTAGCCCCTTGTAGAAATGTTCAAAGCACTTTGGCATCGCTTTTGTCATCAACACATTGCTTCTGCAGTGGGGGCTTTTATTTAATAAGTATATCCAGCTGTGCTATGAAAGGGCTCGAGACGCAGGTTATTACCTGAGGTAAGCAGGGACAAGAAAGGGAGAAAGAATATCGGTTTGCTAAAGAAGGACTTGCTTAGAGGGGCCTCTGCCAGAAAACGCAGAGCACGTAAATCGAGCTAGTCTGAGCAGGTTGTACCATCAGCTGAACCACGAGGGACTAGTCACGCTTTTTTTCTTCTTCTTCTTCTTCTTGTTTTAACATATCTCAGGGAAATGCTTGATCCCTCTCTTGTTTGTTGTCTAGACATTAAGCCCCGATCCAAAAGCCTTTGGCTGGACTGACCTGCGTTCGGCCTTGAGCAACAGGAGCGACAGCAATAGCAAACTGGAATTGTCGGCTTGGCGTTCTGGGCCGGCACAGGCCAATTCTGTGCTTTTGCAGCAAACTCTGTTAAAAGTTCATGCAATGCCACTGGCACCTTTTTCAGAAATGCCACACATTCCTCACATGACTTGAAGCAGGCTTTCAGTTTTTTTAAATCTTGTGACAATCAACTGACTTACAAGGGGAATGAAACAACAACTCTAACACTACGATAAAGTATCTGCAATTTAATAAATAAGCACAAAAAAAAAGCTTGAGCCAAATAAAAAAATGCTGTAGAGGTTAATGGACAGCTATACTTCTACCAGGGGCCACCTGGAAAATATGTGCATGTGTTTGCTCTGGTAGCTGCTACTTCATTAGCAACCCAAGCCATTTTTGCTCACCTGTAAAAGCTTTATTTGAGGAAGAAGTAGCATTTTTTCGGTCATCGTTTTCTCTTGCCCATTCCTAAATCAGCCCTTGTGTGCTGTACACCACTGGGCACCGTGTGTCACTGCTAGCTAGAGAGGAGGCAGGTGTGTCCTTGCAGGGAGGTAGCCTGATGGAGCAAGCAGCAAGTCCCCCCCTCCATCACTCCATACGAAAGAGCAGGAAGGGTGTTGGCCTCAGTCTACTGAAGTACTCTTCGGAATTGCTTTCAGGGTCTAGTCCACTTAGTAATGTTCTTGAAGGCCTCTAGGTGGCTTGCTCCATGTTTTCATCTTTTCACAGCAAAGTGATAATGGGAAATTAAAATAAGGGGAAGTGCCTGGTCTGCATCTGCTCAGAGGGGTTTTTTTCATCTGGGTGCCTCTCCTCCACTCCTCCTTCTTGTCCTTTCTGTTCTGTGCACAACTTTCACAAAAGCACAAGACATGGGAGACAAATGAAAGCTGAAAGAGCTCGGAAAGGAATTAGCAGAGTCTGTGTAGACCGAGGCATTTGGAAATCTAGATAAAATCAACGGTCTAAATTAAATAGCACAGGAGAAAACTGCCTGTTGCCACAATAAACAGACTCCTGCTCTTAATCTAAGATAGTTTTACGAGTTGTCTTGCTCCATGGGGGCTCATAGGTTAGGTTTGGCTGGTAAATCTTCAATTTTTGTGTTCCTCCAGAAAGTCCTTTGGCAAATGTTATCAGGTAAGAGCCAAAAGGGACCATATGACAAAACAAGGAAAAGTCAGGATGTAAAAATATCATTCAAAAACAGATTGAAGGACTTTGGTTTGTTATTCAAATCAACTCTTAAATTCATTTGCATAGACAATTGTAAGCCATTAACTCTGACTGTTAGATTTATTCAAATACTGCCATGCAAAAGCAAAATATGAAGACTTAATAAAATGCAAATCACCTCTGCCCCTCCACCCCAAAACCCAACACAAAAAACAAACAACAGGCAACCTGCACGAGAAAAGCAAGTACCACTGGGACGTCTGAAAGAAACACACCTTTACCCATACGTCTATTTTAATTCCTCTGTGTAAAGAAATAATATATTGCTGATCCAAGAAAGGGCATGAATTCTGTGTGCTTCCTATCAGAAGGAAGCTTTAGACCTGAAATATGTTAGACACTAGTAGCCGGGGAAAAAGAGTTATCCTATACTACCGAGGCTTTGCTGGTATCACTCTTCTGGCCAGATCCCCTAATGCAGACGTGGCTTATACCAGTTGACGAACTTCTGCCAGCACAGTTGAAATAGCCCCCCCCAAGCAACGTGCATTGTACTGGCAAAAGGACTCTTCTATTTGGTGTAAGTCTACATAAGTCTATACAGTGGGGAAGGGAGTCATGCCAAAATAGTTATCTTTGTAGACTAGGGATGTGATTTTTTCCCCATGAGATAGTTATGCTGGCCAGCCTTTGTCATGTAGACCCTAGGAACTTTTATTTGCAAAATAAGACTGTAATTTATTTTAACCAGATGTTCAGCACTGATCTGTGTCTGTGCATTTACAGTGCACTCTTGAGTAATTTTTACTCAGATACGTGAAAGAGATATACCTTGGCCACCAGTAAGCTTTTAAAAATGTAATGCTAAAACTTTAAGGTATAGTGGTGAGCTGTTCTTTCCTGTTTGAGTGGTGATCTGTATTCCCAACGAGGTGTGCTGGTGTTCTGGGTATTGAGTTTTGCTCCTATCAATCATGTCCTGCAAGGCAGAAGTCTCTGCTCGAATGAGTATCGGACATTGGCACCAATTGTTGCAGCAAGTCATTCGGTTCCTTACAACCCAGCAGTTGCTGGGAGCTTAGGGGGAGAGCTGAGGTGACCTAGAAGCTCTGTTTTTTGGCAAAAAGCAGGCATTAGGAGTGCAAAGCCAGTCCTCTTGAAACGACGGCTCCTTCTTTGTTTTGTTTAG